CCCCCCCCCCCCCCCCCCCCCCCCCCTAGCAGGATGTGCTTGGTTTGTATGAAAGACTGTGAGTTTGTGTGTGGGGAAAAAAAGATAAGAAGGGATTATTGAAGTGTGAATGGACTGAAATGTAGCAGTTGAAATGATCTCTACCTGTTCGTAGCCAGTGAGCAAATCAGCCAAGTGACCAGTATTGTCATGAGTTGTTTTGGGTCAGCGTGCTCATTTCATTTCATCCCTGACTTCCCCTTTTAGCAGTCTGACTTCCCTACAGCAGCTTCTTGAACCCCGACAATCTCAAACCATCCGCTGCCTCTGTTTGCTTTCGTTTCGCAGCATCAGACTGCTGCGAAACGAAAGCAAGCGGAGGCAGTTTTACTTTCACTGTCCCATTTATTGGTGGTGGAGCTCTAGTTTGCCTCATATATTAACTGTGTGTGTGTGTGTGTGTGTGTGTGTGTGTGTGTTAACCTTCACCACCCCTTCCCACTGCTATCTGCCCACTCCTCAACAAACTCCCTCAAGGTAGATTCCAGTATCTCATCCTTGACAGCACAGTGTGAAAAAATAACACAAATCTGCCTCCTACATAAGCTCCAGTGGAAGCATTCAAACACAATGATAGCTGTATTCATGAGCTGGAGTTAATGTCTCCTCACACATTTAGCAAAAAGATTGAATCATTCGAGTAGAGACGAGGACAGCAGCTTCCTCGGGGCCCCCATCCCCCTCCCCTCACCCGCTCTGGGTCTGATGCTTCATCATGTTGGGATCGATCCTTCAACACTGGATAAGAGAAGCTTTCGCATGCAATTGTGTCGCTTAAAGAGTGATTATTAATCAGTGATGCTGTGACACCGTCAACAGGTGACCATGGTGGACAGGGGAGCAGCGGAGCGGGCGTGCAAAGACGCCAACCCCATCATCGACGGCAGGAAGGCCAACGTGAACCTGGCGTACCTGGGAGCGAAGCCTCGCAGCTCGCAATCTAGTAAGTGTGTTAGATCAGTTGTTGTTTTTTACCATATTTTAACAATACAATACCTACAAATCATGTAAAGGATAAAGCTGGTGATTTTCTAAACATACCCCATAAAAAGACCAACAGCTAATCCTTCTCTGAATACTTCCTGCCTCACTCAATTCCAAGCCCCTTTGGTTCCTACTGAAAGAAAAACGGATCACAGATATGTAGTTTCACTTGTAAAACAGTTAATGATGAATTGATGTACTAACATCCGGGTAGCCAAAGGCTTCCAGAGACTTGAACCTCACTCAAGATCTGTAGTCCACCGCAGTAAACATTAAGTTTTCTGTATTACTCGGTGAAAGATACTGAATGTTGCTGTCGAATGGTAAAGATTTTCAAGTCTGTTGCACGTTGCTTTTCATGCCGCAGTGAAATGAATGGAAACCCACAGCTGTCTGGAGGATAGTTAATCAATCTAAAGGCCGATGAATATGTTTACAAATTTGAGGTTAGTGGGATAAAACGTACAAAACCACTGGTATGCTCCTTCCATCGAGACTGTGTCTGTGCTCGTTCCCACTATGCATTCACTGTTTGTGTACTTGATTTAACGCACAGCTTTCATGCCGCTGGGCTTTTTTCAGTGTCAACCAGTGTCGTGCTTCCCCTCCGACATCTCGCTGCACACCAGACCTTGACAGCAGCTCTCCCTCGCTGCTTCATTTAATGCTCGCTAGCTGAAATACTGCCGAGTGTAGGTGTGATTGACAAACACTGGCGCCAACAACAACTGACTGTGTGTCCTTATTCTGGGGCCGGTGCTGCGACGCAACTCCCCAAGCATGCAGCTGATGGGATATGGCAGCGCTTGGTATTTTGTTATTGTGTGCGAGAGAGAATGGGAGAGGGAGTGAATAAGGAGAGCAGGAGGGGACGGGGCTGTTAAGAGAATTAAATAATAGCGCATCTGTCTCCTCTTTGTGCTGGTGAAGAAAGGAAGTGGGCATTTAGATATAGGTTTGAACAAAAGAGGAGTGCTGATGGAGTCATGGCTGTACAGTAAAAAGAGGAGTAGCAGAGGAATGAATAGCTGGAGGAATGTTGACATGAAGTCAGAGGAAGGGCAGAGAGGAGGAGGAGGAGAGATTTCTCCTTTCTTACTCGGCCTTAGCTGATCCCTGGTGAACTCTGGAGGCAGAGAAGTCACAGATGTGTGTGTGTGCGCGTGTGTGTGTGCGCTGAGGGAATAACGGATACCGTCTTGCACATGCTAACAATCTGAGGCAGAGAGGCAGAGAATCGTCTCTGTCCTTGTCTGCTCGTCTCTCTCGTTGCCTGTGTAGCCAGTAGCTAAAATATCTCTTCATCGCTGGCTCTCTTTGTCTGCAGGTCTCTCTGTTGGAGTTCAGCAAGTCCATCCTACGTGGGCTCAGAGGCAATATGGGTAAGACGGAGAAGAATCAATACCTTTATTTCCACCTCTCTTTCGCTCTCTCTCTCACCTACCTCCTCCTCAACACAATACATCTCACTCCTCCGTCCTTGACATTTGTGAGCACTCGCTCCCGTTCTCCACTCGGGTTGTGGTAGTTAATGCCACTCTGCAATGTGAAAGAAAGTGGGGGTGGGGGGGGAAGACGCCAAAATGATGCTGTTTAAACTCTGCTTCAAAGACGTTTTCAGCCGTATCTGTGTCCGTGCATCGTATCTTGATTGGTCTTTGACTGTTGTCTCTCTCTCTCTTTCTGGGCCATTAAACACATGAGAAGCTCAATTCTGAATTTCTCTCACGCATGACTTGGGCTTTACTGAGGATACAAGCCATTTAGTGAAACTTCCCTGCATCCTTTCTCTATTATCTTTTTTTTTTTCTTCATGTTTGTACACGCAGAGGCATTATAACATATGCTATCTATTTAATATCTCTGGGTGTATCAGGCCGTGGTTTCCAACCTGGAGCTCAGCAATCCCACAAAGTCTCTGGTCTCTGGTTGAATTCATAGTCCTGCATTGAAGGGTTACAGATGCAGGCCTAAAAAATGTTAACTACACGTCAGGGCTGCAGCGGCCGCTGAGATGCATGGAGACCACAAGAACTGTGATTGGTCAGCGTTTGGCTTCTCCTGATGCCCATGGAGACTGCTGATTGTGAGGAAAACATTAAGAAAGACGCAGTTGTCCTCTCCTTGTCAGTAACACACATAAAGCAAAGCAGGCTGTTCTCATACATTGTTCCTAGCTATACCTACACAAATTTAGTCTGTAATCCACGTCAATCCAATCATGAAGTCGGAAGTATAAAGACCTCAAAGACACAGAATGGGTCAAACGAAACCGGTCTTCATGGCCTGTGTGAAAAGAGAAGTAAACATTGATTTATTTGTCATGTAATTTATTTGTTACGTAAAGTAACGGCAGTTATTGCCTAGTTATTTCAACCCAAACCACGATCGTTTCCTAAACCTAACTAAGTTGTTTCCTGTGAAGACTGAAGTTTATTTTAGAAAGACTGTATGTATGTAACGAGCGAAAATGGTCACGTGTTGCTGGACTTTCACAGGAAATTGCATGAAAAATGGGGAGTAACTTTTTCAGAAGATATCTTATAAACCGGTGTATGAGGATACGTCGAGCTTAGACATCGTCACGGCAAACCTTCTTAAAGTATGACACAACCCGGTCACATACGTCTGTAGCAATGCAGTGGTGCCATCGACATGTCGAATTTGTCGCACACTGGCTTGGGGAACGTTCCAAACATTTGTTGGTTAAACGCTTTTCAAATACTAAGCTTTGATGCTTTTTTTTTTTTTTGTCATATACGATAGTAAAGTTAACATCTTTGTGTTTTAGACTGTTGGTCAGACAAAACAAGCAACTCAAAAACATCTCGTTCGGCTGTGGGAATCATAACGGGCAACACCTAATAGACAAAATGATTAACTGGGGAAATAATCAGCAAATTAATCGATAATGAAAATAATCGCCAGTTGCAGCCTAACGAGGTACCTTTATTTGTCAGGTATTCAATCGTTTCTTTAATTCAGTCTCTGAATTGATTTTCCAGAAAAAGTACCATATCACAATATATATTAATGTATCAAATGACATCCAATACAGTGAGGGATTCTTGCCATGTCGCCTACTCCTAATGGACTTGAGCCGAGCTGAGGCCTCATGGGAGCTGCTGGTGGTTTTCTCCGTAAACTCGCTGTAATCCACACATGAAGGACGTTCTGCCTCCTCGTCCAGTTTCCCCGAGGTTCAGCGTGAACTCCAAAGGAAGCCTTATGACTCAGTTCCTGAGTGAAACATGGAGGATGATTCATTTCCGGGGCTGTTACAGACAGTAGAGCGACGCTGCAGGTCGAACCCTACTGAGGCTTGACTCGGATATTTGCTGATATTTGAGTGTTGTTTTGGGGATCTTAGACGAGGATATTGTCAACCAGCGTCACAGCTGTCAGTTGTGTTGTTGACTTTCATACTGAAATATCTGGTGTTTGGGGGAAAAGAGTGCAAAGCATGTTTTTAGTCTTTGGTTGATTTAAAAAAAAGTTTTACAGACGGGATCCTCTGTATTTTAGAGGTGCTTTTAAGGAATATACATGATGAGGTGTTTTGGAAAAGGAGCTCTTCACACTGACTTTGTCCAGGATGTTCTGCTCCTGCGGCTACAGAGAAGTCCATTAAAAACCTCAACTGTTCTGAGTGCTATTAATATTGCAGTCCTCAATTTCTGAATGAGCGATGAGGGAATTGAGGCTGACCCAGATGAGTCTATGAATGAGTGATGATGGCTTGATTGATGGTCTCCTGCAATGAAACCAGACATTCAAAGCGAAGGGAGTTTTAATCCGTGCTTCCCGGGAAGAGTCACAGCTTTGACTGGAGCAAAAGAGGCAGAAATGTCACCTAACACACTGACTAGCTAACACACCTGTGAGGCAAACGCACACAGAAGGTGGCACATTGTCTATCGGAGTGGAAACACCCGTACATTCAAGCATTAAGATGTTTACAACAGATGTGTGTTTATCTGTTTTTTTTTCAGGCTGTTGGTTGGAAAATACAAGACTTTTCATTTTAACCCTATTTAATCAATGAATCGAGAAAATAATCAGCAGATTGACTGATAAAGAAAATAATTTGGTTAGTCCTATTCAAAACACAGTTACACGATTCCTTCACGCCGTTGGTGAGGAATAAGCTGTTATAAAGAATAGATCAAACATTTTGAGAGCTGACTCCAGACTGCATTGCTTATTTATAAAGTGAAGATGAATTGCTTCCAGTTTAAATGTTGGAAAGTTATTGATTTCCTTTAACTTTTAATAGTCCTCTGTGTTTGTGAAGCTTTTATTTTGAAGTCATATAATTTTAAATGTATCTCTGTGTTTAGTTTGAACCAACACGTTTAAATATGCACCTTTTCTCATCAAACAATTTACCAATTCTATTTTGATTCATTGATTAATTATTTAGTCTAAGAAATATGAGAACACATAGCAAAAAAAAAAAACAAATACCCATCAGAGTCTGAGGCGACATCTTTAGCAGCAGTCCAAAACACAAAGATATTCAATTTACACACGTGTAAAATAAAGAAAAGAAGCAAATCCTCTAAACAAACCTCAAAACACACAGAAAAAGAGAAGGCTGGTTGGAGTTCCCCTGGAATCGACTAGTCTATTAATTATTAGCTTTCCTTTCCAACACGATGCGCTCTGAAGGGAAAATCTCTTGCAAACCAGAGTCAGTTTGTTTTATGGTGAAAATCAGTTGTAGAAGAAGAAGCGATACCAGTTTATATCAACTGTAACCTCAAGAGATCTCAGAAGCACACAGCTGCAAGATGGGTTGTGTTTTGAATGAATGCCAGATTCAGTGTCTCTCAACAGGAAAGTCTCTCTATGTTAAATAACTATCACTGTTGTTATTTGTCTCCCCATTTAAATAAGTCAGTTAATTTGAGTATCTTCTTTGTCTAAAGGAAATCGAATTAGTTTGAATCAATTGGCTTAATGCCTCTAGATTACAAAGTAGACAGAAAAAAAACACGTTTGGATGAGGGAGAAATAAACCGCACATGTGAAACCTTGATGTTTCTCAGTTTAGTATGTGCAGAGGACGCATCTGTCCAGCTCAGATCTCGCTGCTCCGAGGCTAGATGTGTCTTTGACATGATCAGTATGACTGCAGTCAGAGTCAAACATTTCTTGGCAAAGTGAAGGACTTTTATTTTAGGGACAAGCTCTAGCTTTAGTTTAAAAAAAAAGGCCTGGGCAGCTGATAAAGAACAGGAGCCTTATTGTAGACAAGATCTAGAACCAGCTTTCTTTTTCCCAAATATAAAACCTTCATATTACACATTTTTATGTTGGGTGACAAGATAGCTGGTTCTAGATCTTGTCTACAATAAGGCTCCTGTTCTTTA